CCCCAAAACCCCAAAACCCCAAAACCCCAAAACCCCTTAAAGATAAAATCATAGTTATATTCGTTTAGGTTTGAGAAATTAAATTATGATAAATTTTTGTTATATTGCTTTCAAATATAGCTTCATTATAGTATCACTCTTCCTCTTTTATTCTCTATAGAAATTTATCATTGAATATAAACTTACTCTTATAATCTTTCTTCCAGTGATAGGATCAGTGACATAGAGATCTGCTGGCAGTAGAGTTTAGTTTTGAGACCTTTAATGCTAAGGATCTTCAGAAAACCCCTCGAAGCCGTAGCTTCTTTTATTTTAGTCAAATACCTACCCTGTTATCACATCAACTCTTTAATTATAGTTTTTATATTTTGGTTAGATAGGTTGTTGAACTTTCAATGGATGCTGAAATGAATTCATAGCAGAAGATTTATAAATTATGCGATCATCACCAAGCTAATTGAAATAAATAAATAAAAAGTTTGCTTACAGAATAATTAGTCGCACTAAGCATTGCCTTATCTTTTAAAGGTCTTGCAGGAACAAAACTAGAATTAAGCTGAATTAAAAATGAAAAATACTCTGATGGGGCTTGGACATAATTTGATTAGGTGTTTGATAGGTAATCGACTTTATCAGTGCCAAAACATATTTAATTTCCTGTTCTTTAACAACTTGTAACTCTTAGAATTGGATCATTAGTTTACTAAAATATTAAATAAAACATATATCATTAAACTACCTTGAAACTTGACTTAGTGTTGGATTCCCATTATTGCTGCCATTCCTCTCTACCTAGATCGTACTATGTAGACTTGCCCTTAAGAGTGTACTCGTCAGTTAGCTTACCGATAGGGCGATCTCTATTTTCACTTAATTTACTAAACATAATGAAATTTCTTAATTTAATTATAATTAAAACTTTTAAAAATGGAAGAAAACGTAAATTTTGACAATGAGGTCCTAGCTTATCTTACTGTTAGAAAGGTACTAGATCCACATATTTTCATATAATCTTTATAGGATCAACTTATTGACAGCCACAAGCACTATATTCAAAGTCATCCTGAGATTAGAGAGGTCTTGAACGATTTCCTATCCTCAGTTCTATTGCATAAGCCAGTAAATAATTCAAGTGAATAACAGTTATTAGAATGATGTATTTGTTTTCGCAAAAGAGTATTATCATCCCTTTAACCCAACTCCATTGAAATACAAGCCTCTCATTGTCGTAGGTCCATCAGGTGTTGGCAAAGGTACCTTAATCAAAGAAATTATTAATAAATACGGAGGACTCTTCGAATCAAAAATATCTTATACAACTAGAGCTAAGAAAAGCTTTGAAAAGTCCGAAGGCAGCTATCATTTCATCACAAAAGAAGATTTCATGAGAGTAAGTTAGTTTAATTCTAATTATTATTAGAGAGTTGAAAGAAATGAATTTGTTGAGTGGTGCAATGTGCATGGTAATCTCTATGGAACTACTTTTGCTGAGTTAGATAGAATCAAGTAGAAGGGTAAAATCCCCATTATTGAAGTAGATGTCCAAGGAGCAATTAAAATAAATGAGAGAGCTATTGAGGGCAACTTCTTGTTTATCTATCCACCTGCCTTTGAAGAACTTAGAAAGAGACTTGGTACCAGGACTGAAACAGAAGAGGAATTCAAGTTGAGAATTTAGAACGCTATTAAGGAGATTGAAATGGCAAACAACTCAGTACTGTTTACCAATAGATTAGTTAATGATGAACTAGAGCAAGCAATCGATCAATTTTACACTCTTGTTGAGGCCCTGTATTTCCAAGAACTCAAGAATCTTAAGGAGCAATAGCAAAACTAATGATGACTAAGTCTCAATAAGAATTATATAACTTTAATTTAAGCCTAATAATAAAATTTTTAATGTTTTTAATGATATAAAGCAACTGATTAAAATAATTTAAATTTGAAAATATTCTTTAATCAACAGCTAAAGAAATGACTGACTCTCAAGTTAGAATCTCTCAAAACTATTTTAGCGCTCTGGCTCGAGGAGGACTCACAGCAGCCATTAATTACAATACTTAATCTGCCAATACTAGGTGAGTAAATAGACAATATATATTGATAATTTGCATAGTTAAAGCCCACCTAGGAGTCAAAGAAATAATAGTAATAATAGCGGAGGAGGTGGAAATAATTCCAATGGAAACTCTAATAATTCTAAGTAAATTTTAAAATCTAGCTCAAAAGACTATTTTAGTTAAATTGCATTCCATAATCGCTCATCTTCGTAATAAAAAAGAGCGTAATAACTACCTTTGTACGTAAGTCCTTCAAATTCAGATGTGTAATCTGTTAAAAAGATCAATTAGCAATAATACTCAGCCTAAAGCAGAGAAAATATTACATAATAATTATTGTAATCATTTCCTTCTAATATTTAATTTAGATATGAGAAGAAACTTCTATCATTGATGAGTGGCAGTGATCTCTGTCCTTTATAAGAAGAAGTTAGCAAGGAGGATGACGATTCTGTTATAATCAAGGTAGATGTTTAAAAGCAGTAAACAACTGAAAGAAATTCTTACAATCATCAATAAAATTCTGCAAGATCTTAGAATTCTTCAAAAGCATAGACGCATCGCTCTCGACAATCCAATAAATCAAATCCATACTTCCCACCATAACAAAATCAAAATCAGTATTAAAATTATCCCAATGTGCAGATTATGAATGGACATGAAAGTAATAGACACTCTCATGAGAATGTAAAATCAGATTCAGAATAAAACCTACACAGTCAAGCATCATCGTAGAGTCTTCTTAAGGCTAATTCAATGAAAACCTCTAGTTCCTATGTATCTGGAGACTATAACTATAGTTCAAATATGGAAGAGGCTTAACTATATGAATTTTTGAAGAACCAGCAAGAAGAAGAATCTTTATCTCCAAAGTTATTTGACCAGAGACTTAAAGCATCTATGGAAGAAAATATTAGTTTGCAAACAAATTCAACTGCAACGCACAACACCTCTGGAAGTTCTTAAAATTAACAAATGCTATAAGACTAATTAGTAAATGACTTCAATTATCTCTAAAAGGAGAAAGCTAAGAAAATCATAGAATCCTTGAAAGCATAAGCTTAGAAGCCATCTCCTCATTCAATTCCTAATATTCCAAAAGTTGAGAAGAGATTATTTGACTATCAGAAGAAGCTTGAGGAAAAAATAGAGCTATAAAGAAAATAAAAATAACAATTAGAAATGTAACAATTAAGACCAATACCACAGATTTGTGATAAGACTAATGAAATCTTGATGAAGAAATCGATGATAATTTCTCATGGAAATATTAACCCAGACCTTACCTAATCTAACATTTCGAATAATATGTCGAATCATTTTTCCCCTAAAACCATATCGATATCTCCAAATAGATCTAATATAATGTAGAACTAAGGCACTAATATGTTTCCCATTCATCCACCTTTAGACAAATCAATTTAAGGATAACAATAGATTATATTCTAGAATTATCAAATAGAGTAAAAGGGTTATTATGAAGAGCTAAAACGTAAAGAGGAGTTAAGATAAAAAATCATTGAGGAAAAAGAACTTTAGGGATTCACAGGAAAACCACAAATAAATAAGAAATCACAAATGATAAAGAGAAAAGTTGATGATTTAATAGAATGGAAAGATGTTTAAGATAAAAAGCGTGAAGAGGAGTTGAAGAAGAAAGCTCATGTAGAGAACTAAGAAATTTAACAATTTTAACAAGTAAAAGTGGTTAATAAATAGTCAGAAAAAATGATTGAGAATAGATACAAAGGCTAGAGGGGAAGCGAAAAAGTAGAGGACCGATTGCTAAGAGATGCATCACTTAGATAAAAAAAGCAATAAAAATAGCAAGTTAAGCAGATTTTCTACATTAGTGATTTAGAGGGGAAAAAAAGTAATACATCTAGAATAAGGAATAGATCTCAGAGCAATCATCAAAGATAACAAAATGCTTAGCGACCAAGCTATCAGCTATTAAATCAGCAGCGGGAAACTTCTAAATCAAGAAATAGATCTCCTCAATATGCATCATAGTAAAATACTCTTAAAGAGAATAGCATCAATCAGGACATGATGAATAATAAATTCGATCAAAGAATATTTTCACAGTCCGTAGAAGCTCCTAATCAATACAATCAATACGGTTCGACATCACCTTCCAACAGTAATAACTATCAATTTACAAATAACACCTAGGTCTTGTCACCATATGCTTAATCTGCACGCTCTGGATACAGCACCAATCCATTTAATAACTCATATTTCAATAACTAAGTTTCAGAGCAAATAAGTTAGCATTAGATTTCACAGATGTCATCTTAAATTCCATAATCATAGATTTCAAGTCAAAATTAGCAATAGTTTAACTATGCATAACCTCTAATAAATCCTTAAATTTAACAAATGTTTTATAGTAACAACATTGGAGGTGGGTCTTTTGATCTCAATTAATATCAAAACACACAGCAATAGCTGAATCATAACTTTTCACCTTAAAAGATGTATTAGCAAATGATAAATTCTCAGAATTTTAAGTAAAATTATAACTTGCAAAACTCAAACTTAATGCCAATCTAGCAAATATCTTACTTTGATCAATCATAAAGTTAGCTACAAAATATCTCATAAATGCACCCTACTCAAATATTGCAGGTCTCTAATATCTCATAACACAGACCTAGTCTTGAGAGTTAAGGAACTCAATTAGAAAATTTAAGCAATTTCATTTAATATTCTTAGGGTTCAATACCACCTTAGTACTAGTATCATAACCCAACACTTATAAACCATTACTAAGGGCAATCAAATGCCTTAAATAATGGGTAAATGTAGCAAAGAACTTCTCAGTAATAATATGTAAATTAATAGTAGCAATAACAATAGTAATTTTTAAGCTAGCAAACCTAAAATATTTAGAATGTATGCTAGTAATAAGCAGTCATTTCTCCTCAAAATAGAAACGCTTTCTAAGAGATATAAAATATGGAAAGATACTAATAATCTGCTAATAGCAATCTACCTCTTTAGATGATAAATCAAAACAAACATTGTCATAAAAAATAAGATAGTTTAAGTGGACAACCGAGTTAATCAAATAATAGTAAAAAGACTAAGAAAACATATGAATCTCTTTTCGATAAAGTACAAAGAATGAATGTAAGTTAAACATCATCTGATTTTGACAGCTGTCACTCGTCATAAACTGTGCCTATTGTTTCTGCTAATGGTAATCAAATATATCCTTCTTCACAAAGCCCATGCAATCAGTAAAATAATCCTATCACAAGTGGTGAATTCACTTGCAATCCAATAATTTAAAAAATATAGCCAGAATCTCAACTTCAATATAAAACCAATCCTTTAGCATATGATCTACCACTCCAACAACTTTAATCATAACCTTCTACTCATTAAATAAAAAGTTTCAACACTATTGATCCAAGTTTTGGCTAAAATTCTGCTCCCTCCAATATTCATGAGCCTACTTAAACTTAAGACGCTTACTTGCAAAGCTAAATCTCTTAAGCTCTTCCCTTTACCTATCAAAATCCTTTATATATGACAAGCTTTTCAGGATTAAATAAAAATCTTCTGTTTTAAACTAACAACTAAGATCAAATAATTAATAAAATTCTTGACAACTCTTTCATTCCATCTGGCAATGTTAATTAATCTAGAAGAGTTTCAAAAGGTTGTGATATCCCACAGTTATAAACCATGACTGCAAATAACAATAGTGCTGAATTTAATGATGTCTATAAAGAGATAGAAAACAGAATTTCAAATGAGATTCCAATCCAGTATCAATCTAGAAATACTGCTGATCAGGGATAGTTGCTAGATACTGACTTCATCATAACAAATACAAGTCGAGGCTCGGATTAAAATATTGTGAGGAATCTTAATAAGGTGTTGAGTCAAGAAGCTCAAGCTCTTAATCTCCAAAAAAGTGTAAGATCATAATCTGAGGCTGAAAGATAGAAGCAGCTTTCAAGAAATATAAGTCCCTAGAAATAGTTTTTAGCTAATCAAAGCACTAAAGACTCAACAAATAATCTTAAAAATATGAATTTTATGGATAGAAATAGCCAATGGCTAGAACACAAGAAGTATAGGCTTGAGAAAGCTAAAGCGATACATGATTAATAATAGGAAAGAGAATGCCCGTTTAAGCCTTAAATAAAGCCTATTACCGTTTGCGATAAATTATCTGGACAGTAAAATCAGAGATCAAGATCTTTAAGATCTAGTACCGTAAGTCAGGAAAAAAGTAAATCTGTATCAGCTGAGTGTAAAGAATAAAACAAAAATAAAAATTCAATGGAGAGGGAAATTCAAGTTAACAACTTTAATGATTAAGATTAGATGTGCCTTACAGATATGTCAGCATAGAGAGTTAATAATTTTTAATAAGATCTTAACTCAACATAGAGACTCAAAGATATGCTTTAGTTTAATGATTAAAAAATACCAGGTCTTCAAAATTCCCATAATGAGTAATTGTCAAATTTAGCTAAAAAACGAAGTCAGCTAATCAACGATATCGATGATTTAGATATTAGTGGACAATGTGATATAACTACACTTTCTCCAGACCCTAAAAACTAACTCATTGCTAATGAGAGTAACTTTGAAACTTCTTTTCTAAGTTCACAAGAAAAAGATTAGACTAGTAGTAGTGATAGAAATAATAATGTAGTGGTAGGGGGTTTTAGAGCTGGCTAAGTCAAAATTCTTAATAAAAAGATGATCTATTTCTGATGTTGATAAGATTGATAGCAAGAAATTAATGAAAAATATCCTTTGTGAGCAAACACTCTCTTAGTTTTTATGTTTGCTGTGATTATATTGTCTTAATTTATGAACAAAATGCTATAAAACTAATTTATTATTTTTAAATAGAATATTCATGGACTTCACATCAGCTGCATCACACTGCTGATATATTACTCCCTTGAATTCAGTCAAGTTCTTCGACGACCTATCCAAGAGGATCCTTCTTCTGAACTACTATTTTCTTTCCATCCTTTGGTTCTGAGCCAGTAGGGGGTTCCCATGGAGTATATTTTCTTGCTTTTGTTCTCTCTAAGTACTCAGCTCTGTTATCATTGAGCAAGTGACCAGGGTTTTTATAGGCATTTGGGTGATCAGTCTTGAAAACCACTGTTCTGTGAGGTCTGTAAGCAGGCTCCACGAAGTTGTCCTTCTTTGGGGGATCATCATAAGTGTAATGCAACCATCCGTGCCATCCGGGAGCAATCTTTTTTGGAGTCATAAACCATTTGTTATAGTCTGCATATTCGATCCATCGTCTTGTATTCTTGTTGTGATGATTAAAGTCCTCATAATACCTGTTGCCAAATTCATCAGTTCCTACGAGTCTCACCAGTTCATCCTCATAACCTCCCTTCTCATGGGTTGGTTTGTAGATTTTACCTCTAAGAAGAGCTCTGGTAAAACCCTCTTTACGGTAAATTGCCCAAAATTTGGGTCCTAAAAGACCCACGGACTAACCCCATGATCTCATTTTTTCTAATTATTAATTATTTATAATTGAATTAATTTATTTATGATGTCTTTCGGGGTTTTGGGGTTTTGGGGTTTGGGGG